TAAAGATTCAGGAGTAGGTATATATAGTACTAAGACAAAAACAAGAATCTCATTGAGCTTAGGTAAACATGCGACAGTATTCCAGGCAGCAATACATTACTGCACAAAAGAAGTATTATGGAAAAACCATTGTCATATACTCAGACGTTAAAAGCACTCACTTCTCTGGAGGTACACTCAAAGCTTATGTGGGACTGTTAGGAAGCCCTAACAGAGCTGGGTAGTCAAAATAGACTAACCTTAGTCTGGGTACCAAAGGATATAAGGGCAACGAAGAGGCTGATTTACTAAACTGAGAAGAAACCTCGAAGGCTCTTATTGGTTCAGAACCTTTCTAGTGCCACAAAGGCACATGTAACATGCACAAATCATTGGATTTTCAAAAAATCTCAGGAATAGTGGAAAATTGAGCAGAACGGAGACAGGCCAAAAAGTTATTAAAAGGACTGACATCTAAACACAAACATGTATAATATCGGTCTGAGAGATTATGCCGATTCCGTCAGGAAAAGGAGGAAACTGCGAAAGTCTATCAAGATTAACTTATACTTCGAGAAGAAAAACCACGGGTAACTAGCTACGCCTCAGAACTACTTTCTAGTCTATGGAGTATTTGGAGTATTAAATTGACAGTGATATTGATTAGCTTTTGCCATCTTACCATCAATGTCGATATCATCTGAATCATTTTCTAACACGAAATCGAAGAGCTTCTTGTCAAGTGCATGAATTGCTTTAATTTTTTGTTCAAGAAGCTTCAGATACCCTTGAATTTTGGTTATATCATCAGAAACCAGTCACTGACACCAGGATTTTGCGCAGTAGATTATTGGGGCCCCCAAATTATCTTGTTGTTGGAACAAACCTATAAAACAGTTTTTGCTCACCGCCTAAAACTATATTGAAATTCTAATAGAATATGATCAATTCAAATCAACTTCAAAGTTCATAAAACATGTCCATTTTAATTTTAGGAATATTCAAATATATTCATGTTTTAATATTTAATACAATAATTATACTTTATTGCTTTCTTGCTATTTTCTAGGCGTGGTAATTTGGATACTTTACCGCAAGTATATTGAAGCAATACACAACGACTTGGAAATGTCCTTCGTTCAAGATGTCAGCAACATAAGCACCAAACATAACAAAGGATTGGTACTTTTTTGATCCCTTCTACATAATAGAAAAGCCAAGAAAGACTAACTATGTTGTTCGACAGACTTTAAGTGAGTTAGAAGAAGTTTCTCGTTGAAGAAGCTTCTATCAAGATAATTTAGTATGTATCTTGTATTTTTGCTCCTCTATATACCATTGATTATTAATTGCCTGTCTTTCTTTTATCAAACTTTCCCAATTGACTGTATCTTATTTTAACAGTCGGGACAAGCAGGGCCGTCAAGAGGGGGGTAGCCGGGACTAATTCCCGGGGCCCGGGCTCAAGTGGGGGCCCAGCAGCGGTATAAGGGGGGCCCGACAGCTTTGATGAGGACGTTTTTTATTTTTGTAGATGTTTGACACAAGATGGAGGACCTTTTTTTTAGAGATTTCACTTAAGAGAAGGAGAATTGCTTGAAAAATTTTTTTTTTGGAGAGGGCCTAATTTTTGTATAAAATTGTCGCGAGGCCCAACCTGGAAAATTGTCCCGGGGCCCGACCTGGCTCTCGGTGGCCCTGGGGACAACAGCTCTACTAAACAGGAAATATTATATTCTTGTTTTTAAACAATACTACTAGGTGATATGGTTAGGTTAAAGAGGCTCTATGAAACAAAAGATTGGAAGTATTCAGGTTCTCCACGGCTAAAAAAAGCCCGTGTTCAAAAATCGACTGACAAAGTTGTGGCTTCAGTTTTCTGGGACAAAGATAGGACAAGTCTGATAGAGTATTTGAAAATTAATAAAACTGTCACGGAATCATATTATACTGAGCTGCTAATTAAATTAAGCCAAGTCTCAACATAACAGGAGCCATGAAAACCACACCAACCACCCAGCAAACCGATTTGATTTTGAATGAATGAAGTCATTTTGCAAGACAATGCCTCTGTTCAAAAGACTTCAAACCCGATACGAAAAATGAATAGATTGATGTTAAATTGGTTGATCACTTGCCCTATTCTCTGGATTTAACACCATCTAATTACTACATGGAGGAAGGATGATGAGTAAAGGCCAAATATTTTCGACAAACGAAATTAAAGACGAAATTAAATAATTTTTTAAACCCAAAAAATACATTTAAATTGTTACGTAATGTGTTCATTAAAACTAAAATTGAAATAAGTAGGTAAGTTTTCAAATATCTTCTGCCTGAATATTACATAATATATTTTTTGTGTCATAATTATTACACTCATCTAGACGAAATGATTTGATATAGATACCTCTTTGACTACATTTACAACGCGTCCCTGTATCAAAGAGTGCTACTGTAAAAGATCATGTCCAGCGGCATATCAAGCGCTTTTTAAAATGCCCGTCCTTGTAGATTAACATCGCTGACATGTAATAACCACTTTGTGACTTCAGTCATTATTTATAAGGGTTCGAATTACCTATATCTTTTATGGAGATTACAGCTAATCTCTACTAATTATTGATGGGTTTTACTTTCTTTGATTGTTGTCGCTGCAACGTTTATATAGATTGTCTCGCACAATCAACTATAGGAACGTGTCAATACATTTTATCCATCCCGTTTTGCCTTATAACTTTTGGTTTGATACTAACTGAAAAATAGGTTTAACCCTTTCCAATGCACTTTTGGAGAGAGTTAACAATTATATTAATAATTCGAATTCTAAACCACATAAATTCCATTAAACTACTGCGAACAGTTTTGGCTATATAGCCATTTTTTGACTGCTAGAACATTATTAAATTATTAAAAAACACTTAGGTTTATCTTACCGGTCCAAAAAAAATCTTAAGTTTAAAAATGTTTAAAAAATTCGCCTAAAATACTCATCATGTAACTAATGGACAAATTTTAAAAATAATCTGGTAAGCCGTTTTTGAGAAAAAAATGTTTTGTTCAAGAATTCAAGTAAGTAGGTAAACAAGTTATTCTTCATCGGATTTTTTTCAGAATTGTTCTATGCGATCTCTATGTCATTGGTATACTAGGAGAATTTTTACAAAAATTGTTTATAAATAATAAAATTATTATTATAACTGTTTATTGCTTTACACACCACCTAAAATTAATTCTAAACTGAAAAATCATAAATAGTCAATCAAAACTGAAACTGAGAAAACCTGATGGAGGTACCTACACAAAATTTTCCTAAAATGGTCCGTATTCGAGAAATTTGACAAAATGTAAAAAAAATATTTTTTTATAAAAATTGTTTAAATAAAAGTTATTTGTAATATAATTCTCTATAATTTTTATTTTATACATAATTTCTCTAAAATGGACCGTATTCGAGATATTTGAGAAAATGTGTAAATTTCGAAATTTGAAGAAAACTCAAAAACGGATAAAGAAAAAAACATTAAATTTTAAACTTAAGTTTTATTTCGGCCTGACGTGAAATGATTAGATTTTGGAAAAAGTCGGGACATCTGGGGGTACTTTATGGGAGGCCGTTTTTATATTTTATGAATATATCTGTTATTTATGTTTGGAGAAGAAAATTGTTCAAATAAAAGTTACTTCTAATATTATTATCTATAATTTTTGCATTATGTCAAATTTTCCTGATATGGTCCGTATTCGAGAAATTTAACAAAATGCGCAAAATTCTGATTTTTAAGAAAATTGTTAAACTAAAAGTTGTTTGCGATATCGATCTCTATAATTTTTGTTTTTACATGATTTTTCTAAAATGGACCGTAATGGAAAAATTGGAGGAAAAGTGATAAATTTAAATTTTTCGGTATTTCTGTTTTCAATGAATATCTATAGAAAAATGTTTCGAGTTAGATCTATGTGGAAAATGTATATATTAAGTTTACCCTCTAAACATTTTTAGAGGTGCTGCAATAGGTTGTACAAAATAACCGGAAAAAGCCTATAATAACTAGATAGGAAAGTCATGTGTTGGACAGTTAAATTTCATAAGAGCACATTATTTTAAAATCACATATTAATAATATAAATTCACTTTAATATATTTATTATTTTTGTACGTATTAATCTCTACTTTTTTTGGTACCCCACTGCGCTCAGGCCGATCGCGTCTGTAGGTTTAATGTCTAGTGAACGCGAGAGGTGTCTGAGAATGGGGTCTATTCTGTAACAATTCCTTTATATTTTAACGGCCTTTAAAAACATTTTCTTCTTTAATTCTGTCATTATTCAAACGGATCTTTAAAATACATTAGAGGACTATCTTAAAGAAATCTGTTTAAATAATGACAGAAGTAAATTAACGAATACGAAAATATTTTTAAAGGCCGCCAATATTTTAACGGCTGTTAAAATATAAAGGAATTGTTACAGAATAGACCCCTATGGGAGTTTTGTGTATTTTAAATAAACATGTATATTTTTAAATGTCGTTCTTTTAGTCTAATAATATTTTTTAAAAAAAACTAGAATACATTTCTGAAATATTACTTTTAATATTTCTAAAAAAAGATTTCATATTTTCATTTCAAAAATATTACTGTGAAATGTTATATTTACAGGACATTTTTACGTTTTAGGCACATTTCAGAAATATTTCTGGGATGTTTCGTAATATTTAAACATTACAAATGTTTCAATGTAACATTTTTGAAATATTTCCGAAATGTGTTTGTGCTGTATAGGTTAGTACAATAAAGAAATTGAACTATTTTTTTTATTGAATATCTAGGAAACCGTCCCTGATATTTTGGTTTTCAAAACGTCCTCAGATTTGGCTTCACAATATACAACTTTTTTCCATTTAACCAACTTTTTGTCACCACTAGTTTGCAAGATAACATAACATTTCAATTAAAAAGTAGCCACCTGTATTATCACTTTAATCACTCCACAATCCCTCCAATACAAAATCTAAAATTGGATTTACTTGAAATAAAATCCATAGTAATAAAAATCCAGGTCTATTACAAAACAATATTATATTGAACAAATATTTACAAAACACATTTACACAAACGTAACCGTCAGGTAATATTTGTTGGCCTAGGTCGAAGAATTAATTTACCACTATCGTCACATGACATGTTGAAGTCACTCAAGACCTCTCGAGTCCTTGAGGTTATTATGGATGCAGCAATGACACGTTTGTGGACACCTAGTAGTAATATCACAACTAAAAAAAAAGTACAATAATAAATATAGTAACATTACCTGTTTTTAATTAATATAAATCAGAATAGTAGTTTGTGCAACAAGAGTGGATATGACAATCCACTCCAGTTGTATAGTATATTTTTTCTACGACCTACTAACGAAAATCAACAAATTTTAAAAATTATTTTAGGTTATTAAGATAAAATAACTTTTACTAATTTATAAAATGAACTTAAAAGAAAAGATTTAATTTAATTAGTCCCCAATCCTAGTCACAGCTCCATCGACACACCTAACATTTTTAGTTTGAATACTCATAATTAAATTGATTTCATATAGTTTTATTAAAATTTATGATTTATTTGTAAATATAGATGAAATAAAAATAGAAATGCTATTATTTGTCGATTCTACACAAGAATAGCTGGTTTAATGTATATTTAATTTCAATAACTAAAAAATATACTGACAACTAGTTTGACAGAATTGTCATTTATTTAAAATTTACAAAAATAATAGTAGCCAGGTGACCAAAATATGTAGTGTGATTGCTGGATTTCATATTTATGCAGTGCTCTTACTAGATAGAATGGATATGAAATATATTCGTTGAGTTGAACGCAAAGGCATAGTTTTTCGTTTTGTAGTCTAATGGGTAGGTAAGCTAGTATCCATGTTCCTTAATAGTAAATAGAAAGGGGATAATTTCTTGACCTCAGTTGAATTTTTCATAAACAAATAAAGCTTGGGTATGACTGATCAAAATATATTTTTATTTAGATAGCAAGGCATGTTTCAGACAAACATTCCATCTTTTTTAAGGTTCCATCAATTTATTAATAAATACAAAATGACATATCTAGACCCAAAGTTCAAGACTATGAGGGTCTTACAAATTACAAATTTTATGTCACTGAAGAAAAAATTTGTACTTAGTTATAATACTAATAATACTACAAAAAATGAATATAAATACATTAATTTAATATCTAATATTACACTATTATTTAAACCTGAAAATGTCAACTAAGATTTAATTGTTTTAAAGAGGTAAGTAGTTCTTATGTTCTTTATGATGCTTGGAAAATCATTGTACTGTCTTAGACCATCCGATAGCATGCTTCGGTCACCTAAGCATGTTCTTAAGGCTGTGGTTTAGTAGCAGAAGTTGTTTCTGGTAGTGTATCCATGACTCTTGTTTGCAATAGTAAGATGTAGGGATGAGTGTATATTATTCAGAGACATTTTATGAATAAAGATGCATGTCTGATATTTAGAGAGGGACTGAATGTCTAGAATATTATTTGGATGATACAAAAGATAAAATGGATGACAAAATGGAAGGTTAAAATTTTTTTCTGTTAGCCCTATTCTGTAGAATTTGCAAGGGTTTTAGCCTATTTTGCTCAAATTGAGAGTTAAAAATGATGGATGTGAATGGATTAATGAATGATATAGTCTTTATTAAGTCAGCTGGAAGATAGTAGACAACTCTCCCAAAACTCCAATGGCAAGACTATTTTTTACATAATTGAGTAATATGATGTTCCCAGTTGAGCTTGGAATATACAGTGTGGGTCTAAAGTCCCTCCCCCTCCCATTTAAATTTTGAACTATAAAAGTTAGAAGTTTGAAATTTTGGGAAACTGAACTAAGAAATGTATATTATCTTTTTAATGATATTAGGTGATGTAACCATTAAAAATGGCGGATTGGAGCCGTTTTGGAAGATAATTTTAAATGGGATCACATGGCAAGTGATACATCATTTAAAAGCTTGTTCCAAACCCTTTCCAATGACATCAATAAAAATAAAATTTTTACTCACAACGAATCCTTTACTTTAAATTTTCAATGCTATCAACTGGCGTACTACAAACTTTTTAACCTTTGGCACTGTACTATTCTCGTTTAAAATCAAAGTTTTTTATGGGTTCATATCTCAATTTCAAATTTCTAACTTTTACAGTTAGAAAAATAAAGGGTGGCACAAAATTGATCGAAAACATTTGATCGGATACATTTGATCGAAAAAACATTTTATCCAATAACAATTGATCGAAAAGAAAAATGATCTATATTTATTTGAAATTGGTTTCATTCAGGCTTTTTTGATATCACTAAAAAATTTAACTTTACAGTATTCAATGGTAATTTATGAAACTTTAACCATTCAAAAATTTATATCTTCATCTATAACATTCTTTATTTCCAAAATAGATGAGGCATGCGTCATCGGTATATAGTTTCAGATAACAAACTAATAATAACTGAGCTATGGAGTTCATATAAATCAGGAATAATGGTCCAAGAATTGACCCCTAGGGTACACCATATTGGTAGGGTTGCCAGACGTCACGCTTTAAGCGTATTTTCCACGTTTTTTGATTTGCTTGTACGCTCAACGCCACAATACGAAAATGTCCCGCTTTTGACAAAAATGCCACTCTTTTTATGCAAATGCCACCTTTTTTAATATTCAAAGCCGTAAATAAAAAAAGAGGAACTGGATTTATAGAAAAATACAAGGTGAAGGACCTTTTTTTTAGAAATTTGACAAATAATAATGGACCTGGTTATATAAAAATGCTTGGTATTTGAACCTGATGCTCTGTCGTCACGATTGTACGCTTTTCACTTTTGTAAATCTGGCAACCCTACATATTAGAGATCAGCCATTTTACTTAAGATATCTCCATTACTTACAAAATGTGTGAGACTATTAAAATAATCTCTGAAAAGAGGCAATGCATTTCCTGCAACTCCATGATCTTCCAAAATAGATAACAGTATCAATCGCCTTCTTTAAGTCAAGTGAAACAATGATACATGCATTGCCTTCAACATAATGTCTGATGTTGATATCATATCTTCTGGTGCAGACATAGCTAAAATTTGAGGTTGGCGGAATTTTATTCGAAACAAGTTGTTCGAAAAATTTTGTTTGAAACACGATTGTTCGAAAACCCTCAGTTCGAAAATACGTTTCTTCGAAAAAATGTTAGTTCGAAAATACGTTTCTTTGAAAAATCCTAGTTCGAACATACTATTTTTCGAAAAATCTTAGTTCAAAAATTGTTTTGTTCAACAAAGTGTAGCTCGAAAATGCTTCTGTTAAGTTTTTCTCTTTAAATTTTCCACACAGGTTAGGTAAATTAGTTAAGAATTTTTTTAATTTTTCTAATTTTATGTATATTTTTTGTGAAACAATCCGCGATGACTCCAGGCCGCACTGGTTAGGTAAATTAGTTTTTTTTATTTTAATTGGAATACTAAGAAAATATTTCTATTTTCTCTAATATATTTTCAATTTTTTTTGTTCGAACTATTATTTTTGAAGAAAATTATTTTCGAATTTAACATTTTCGATTAAAAGTGTTTTTGAATATAAGTTTTTCGATCAACCTCTCATTCGAACAAATGTATTTTCGAACAAACGTGCTTCAAACAAAATTTTTCGAACAACTAAACAAAATTCCACCAACCAAAATTTTAAGAACATTGAGGCATAACAAACACTTTAAAACAAATTTTTTGTCCCTCAATAATTTTAAAATTATAAATATAACTGCACCAGAAGATGAAATGTTTTTAAAATAGATATTACTGATTATACCAAAGTTTTATTTGTTTATAAAAAATAATAGTAAATAATAAATATTGGTCTATGGGTTAGAAATCATTCGCTGTATATATAATTTAGGAAATGAATAGCAATAGCCAATCCAAATTAAAATGTTTTATAAAAAGTAAACAAAATGCAAAAAATATCACTATATAGTATATTATATAATTTGTATAATTTTAGACAGCAATGAATGCAATTTGTAATTAATATTTAAGACCGATTCTCACAAGGTGCTCAGGTCTCACTATGCACATGATCTGCTCACAATCAAGGATGTGAGCTAGTATTCATATGTTACACTCAACTGGCGCTCATTTCTCTGCCATGTCAAAGTATAACTTGTCTCCCAGGTTGTACAATTCTTTGGTATTACTCCTAACACAAGAATAGGAAACCGAACGCCGTTTAATTGTTTGCTTGTATAAATTGATGTAATGGTTCACTCAGGTTTGTTCAAAATATCCACAAAGAAAAAGACTGTGGTCAAATATGAATACAGTAATATATGGATAATCCGAACAGAATGTTTGCAAACCCCATTTAGTGTACGAAAACTTTCAAATTATGGAATTCATAATAAATTATATAAATAAAATAATTCCCAAAACGTTTGTTTATAGATACCTTTCTTTACCATAACAATACATTCCCACCAGTATATTTACAAAATATTTTAAGTTATAATCAGGATGTTCATGAACACAATACATGAAATAAGAAACATTTTAGAGTTTATAAGGCCACAAAAAATGTACACAAAATTTAGTGTTTTTTAAAGGTGTACAGACTTTTAATAATTTGCCTGAAGATATTAAATATTTGATAGAAAATTGCGTGAGTACTTGCTGACCAATTGTTTTTTTTTTCTTGTTTTATTATGTTTTGAATAGTTGACATGTAAATGTACTATATACTTATGTATTTTTATTGTATTTTAAATGTACGTTAATTGTATACGTATGTATTTTTTATTTTATTTTAAATGTGAAGATGTATTGACATGTAAAAAATAGATTTTTTTTTACTAAATAAACGATTTATATATAAAAATACTCAATCGCTATAAAACCTTTATGTACACGAGTACATAGGTATTTCGAAATAAAAACATACTAAGGAAACGTGTGAATGTACAGGGTAGTTTGTATTACGGAAATCGGGGGTTCAAGGATTCAGATTATGGATATCGTTTTATGCAATTTGGGCATTCATATTATAGAGTGTTTCGGATTAAAGGAGGTTCAGATTATCCATACATTACTGTATTTCCATTTAGGTAGCATGTCACAATATTTCATCGCGCCTTGAGCGGAGCGCGGCCTGAACTACAGTGAGAATCGGCATTTAGTTTAAAAACATGAAATGATGTAGGGAAAATAGTATATTTTTAAAATTAACTTACTCAAAACAATAGTAGACAAAATGAAGAATGGATGATTCGTTAAAGATTGTGATAATGATACTATCCTAGTTTCTGGGTCAAGGATCCACTGACTAGCCCCCGTCGCAACACACAATGAAACTCCAAGGAGCACAACTGAAATAATTCAATAATAACATCATTTTATTAATGTACTTACAAACTTACTTCTCCATCTTGTCGTTGATGGATGTAAACAGGCTATAACTTCAGTCAATCGTCTCTCGAAGGCTTTTAAATCTGCAATAATATCTATTTTATAGGTAAACAATTAAATATCACTATTAAGAATTGCAATACCTTCACATGCTGTTTGTTCCAAAGACATCATTAACGCTGTATTATTAACCTGGTACTAAAACTAACCAAAAGTTGAATTTTATTTTACAAAATTTACATTTATAATCGATTTTTTCATAATAATTCTTCCATGATTTACTTAACCCTACTTTGGATGAAAAGAACGCTCCACGAACGCTCTGACGTTATTGACATTGACAGTGTAATAATCATATGTTTTTGACATCTCGTCAAATTTTAGCCTTTTCTAAAGTAAGAGAACCAACCAATGATTAGATGGGTGAGATTACAAAACGTCTGCAACTTTACAGATCTGCAAATATGAGGCCATATCAAGCTAGCGGGCACTCTGTGGCGGCACCATACAAGACCTGGTGGGGTTTTTTGTAGCTTTTTTGTTACGCTATTTGCGAATTTGTAGCTTTGCCGGTCCGAAAAAACAGCGGATCCGCTAGCTTGAATTTCCATAAATTCCATTGTAGCGGCACAGATTCAGACCCAGCTGGTTTTTCGTAACTTTTTTGTAGCTTTTTTGTTACGCTAGTCTCCCTTTTGTACTGAACCTGAGAAAAGCGCGGCTCCGCTAGCTTAGCGGATATTTGTAGCGGCACCAGCTCGGACCCTGCTCATTTTTTGTAGCTTTTTTATTACGCCTGTCTCGATTTTGTTGCGAGGCCTGGGGCCTAATTCTCGAAACATGGTCGTTAACGCATACGACAGCAATTTAGTATTCCTGAACACCATGCGATAATCGCGAATCAAGTCGAACGTGTTAACGAAGAGTCTTTGATTATTGCATAGTCTTAACCAATGAGGATTGAGAATACCAAAGATGGTATCACTGAATATGAGATAATTGCATTGACATATGTCAAAATTGCCAAAAATGCAAAAATTAGGCATTCCAAACAAATGCATTGCCAGTGGGCAGGTTTGGTATATCTAAGGGTGGCGAAATACGGTGTATTCTATCTACTTTACGTAAAATCATGAATAATGGATTACATTTAAATATTTTATGTCAAACACAATAAAAATAATATTTAAAAAACCTACCTATACATTTCTTCATAAATTGGCAAGCTTGGCGACTACTACTTCGAATAAAAATAGCGTCCAAGTTGCAAGACTATGTCGCTACCCCCCTTAGATATACAAGAATTTCCCACTGGCACATATTGTTTGACAGGTCGTTGGAATGCCTAATTAGGCATTCCAAACAAATGAATTACCAGTGGGCAGGTTTGGTATATCTAAGGGTGGCGACTTATGGTGTATTCTATCTACTTTACGTAAAATCATGAATAATGGATTACATTTAAATATTTTATGTCAAACACAATAAAAATAATATTTAAAAAACCCACCTATACATTTCTTCATAAATTGGCAGGCTTGGCGACTACTACTTTGAATAAAAATAGCGTCCAAGTTGCAAGACTATGTCGCTACCCCCTTAGATATACAAGAATTTCCCACTGGCACCTATTGTTTGACAGGTCGTTGGAATGCCTAATTATAAAATTAAATGGATTGCAGATGTCTAATAATTTTTGGTTTTTGGATGTTTTAACTGTGATTATTTGTATTTTGGACTTGAGAATTGGAGTGGTTTAGATTTAGAATATTAAAAATGGAACAGCATGGTTCACGAATAACGGAAAAACAGCGTGAAACTTTAGTAGAATTTATAACATTGTTTATTGCCTGTAAAACTCCTATGATAAAGCAAGATTAATTGACAATTATAACAGAGACAACCACATACAAAAGAAAATCAAAGTATGTGGCACGTGGAGACAACCCTCTGACAGAGACAATCCAGCGAGACGTGTAACTCAATGTATTTTTTTTGTTCGGTAAAACTTATTTGGGCGATTGTAACCACAACCAGTCTATGATGGCGCCACTAGTAAATAGCGGGAAAATTAAAAATGCTTTAGAGCGGGAAATTCAAACATGGATTCAGAAATCGTTTTTGTATACAACAAATTTACAAGAGAAACAAAAACTATTGTTTCACTGTTTATTAAAAAATATAAAAGCTTCCAATAACATCAAATTGTTTATCATATAAATAATCATTTTAATAAAGGAAGTTTTAATCAGTTTAATATAAGCAGTGAACATAGTTTTTATTACTCTTGTAAATTTCGCTAAAAAAACTTGAAAATTCTATTGATTATTAAATATTTAAACTTGGAAAAATAATACACCAAACTCTTTTTCTATAAATTATATTTTTTTAAGGTACAGAAAAACAAACTACAATTGCTATGTTTAGAAAGTACCTCCTATCATTTTGTGACAAATTACAAAGAAAGTAACAATTGTTATATATTCATAATATATTTAAAAACTAATGTAACAAATATTTTATAAAGTATAGAGTATATCGATACCTTTTTGCCAGACTATCATAAGTGCCATTTGAACAAATGTCGCTTATGTTAGTCTGGCAAAAAGGTATCGATATGTTATGACTGTTTATTTTAATAGAAACCATGGAAATGAAACAAACACAGATACACTCAACACAAATGTATAAGGCCTGAGTCGAGTTCCCATCCTGTAAACTGGATCGAAACCTGCTAACTCCTCTTATAGTAATCAAGATCAATAGATTTATATGCCATGCCTTCTAAAAGGGAATGAAGGATGACATACTATCATCATTTAAACAGGACGTTGCTGAAGGCTTACCCCTGTTATTTCGTTTGTTTGTGTATCTTGTGTGTGTGCATTCCTGTTGTGTCCCCACTCATGTAAAAGTTTTCCTAGTCTCCTAATTTGGTTACTAGGTGGACCTTCTCCAACTATTAGTCTAATCTATTCAATCTGTTCGGAAGCAGGAGGTACTTTTCAAACATAGCAAATAATATTATTAATAATAAACACTATTTAAAGATAAATACATTTTTGTAATTTTTTTGTCATTGCCCCTTACCTTTCTCTTACACCACCAGGGTATACCTATTTTCCATATTCCCTTAATTATAGATTACCTTACAATGTTCGAATGAATATAACATTTTACTCATGAAAAAGCTAATTTCACATTTAACTCATTTTCAATTTCATTTGAAACAATAATTGGTACCTATATTACAATTTATTATCAAAGAAAATTTCTAATAAAGTTATAGCAAATCCTACTTAAACTACTGGTTGTTCTGCAGGATAAATTAACTTTTCTTGAGATTGATCTCTCTATAAAATCCAAAACCGACCTGATGTCCCCAAATTTATTTTCCAATGCATCCTGATTTAAAATTCTGCCCTTTTGTGATTCAATTTTTTTTTTCTTCCTTTAGAGTGGCTGTTAGAGGTAGGTGTATGTAAGAAATAGCTAATCTCTAATCATTTCAAAAGTCCTTTGCCAATACTACATGTGCAGATTTTTTACTCAGCATACATTTTACTTTTCTAGTAGATAGGAACTTTGTGCTGCCATTCTGTCCAGACATTCATCTACCTACTTAATGAACACAAGTAGCTGTAACAATGGATCTCTATTCCAATTCACCTAAAATAATTATAGTCATTGTGTAATATATTATTAAACACACACATTATACAGTGGTTTTCTTAATAAATTGGAAATTACTTATTCTAGAAAGAAATGTGTACAAAAACGCGAGTTTGGTTTCAGAAATTGCTTCATGCAAAAAATAATATGCAAAAATAAACAGTCCCCCCCAAAGAAAATTAATTAAACAACAAAATCAGACTAAAAGAAATATACGGGGCCCAAATTAAATTAATTTTAATAAAATGCACATGTTCATAACAACATTCATAACATTGTCAGTTGTCAGTTGTCAGTTTTAATACTTTTAATCGATATTTCGACGTCAAAAAACCAGCAACACCAGCGCCCTCTGAAAATGGTGTTAGTTTTATTGGAGAGAGATAGACATATGTAAAGATCAATGTAAAAGAAAAAGAGGGTCATATATGTAATTTAAATGGACCTCCGAACATATTTTCCTATTAAGTTACACGTCTCTGTTGTCTCTGCCTCTGATTATAACCTTACTTTCACCTTAACGAATGCGACAAAGTGGTTGTCGAACGGTCATGAGCGCTCTTTGAAAATCACCATTTTTTAGCGCATGCGTTAATAAATTTGACGAATGCCGCCAGTTCAGGAATACACTTTCATCAAGTCGCATACGTTATCGCATGCGATAAGTTTACGAAGGCGTCAGGAATTGGGCCCCTGAACGTGAGTAATAATCGTTTCTCCATGAGCGTGAGAGAAAAGTGCGTTAATTTAAAATCAAGTTTCAGCCTCTACAAGTAATAGGTGCAACTCGATAGTGTGACTATCTGTTGATAGATGGCACGAGTATTGCATTTCACGAATTATGGCCATCTTCCATCCAATATATTTTTGAGAAATTTAGATATAACATGATATCATCATTGTATAAAGAACTATAGTAGGATAATGGACATGTAAAAGTTATTGGAGGCAATCGCGCCTGACATCTATTGGTACAATCATTGAACTAACGATTTTATTTACTGGTTAGATACGCCCTCTACGTCAGATGTTAGAACTTTATAAGTGACAATTCCGTCAAATTAATTGTCAATATATATTTTTTTAGTTATTAAGATTAAATATAATTAAATATAGTGATTATTGTGAAGAATCAATAAATAATAGCATTCCACAAGATATTCGTCTATATTTAAAAATAAACTGAGATTTTAATGAAACTAAAAGCAATCTGATTATCAGCGTTAAAAAGTAAAACTTTCTCGTAAGGCTCCATAACGAATAGTTAGAGAAATCGTCTATGAATCGGAAGGTTGTGAGTTCAAACCCACGAGTAAACACTTTTCTTTTTTTTTTTTTTCTAAATTGGTAAAACTTAAATTAGTAATGACATCTAAATCTTCATGGTTAAATTTCGTCTTTTTGCTATGGCCACTCGGGATCATCAAATTATAATAGATAATAATAGGTCCGGTAATTTTATTTAAATCTTTTGACAATGAAACTAAAAATGTGTGTCTAAAGGAGAAATATACCAAAAATAACAAGTATTTAAATTTTGCTAATAAATTTGTATTAGGTATGTGTTAAAAGAAAATTACATCATTTTGTATTTGAATATACAGTGTGGCGCAGAATGTCTGCACCAAGAAAACACGAAATTAAATTTTTCTTTAATCTACGTAAAAAAGTTGGAATTAAAATTTTTTACTGAAAATTATTAGGTACCTAACAGGGTTATTCATTATAAATTACCCACC